CATACACAGGTTTCAAACATGGCGAAACGAAAGAGAGATGATGGTGCTGCTAGGTGGAATTATGAGATGGAGGAAAGGTTCGTGGAGCTGTGGCAACAGTACTCCTCCTGTCTGTATGATGTGTCATTGAGGGACTACCACGACAGAACAAAGAAAGAAAAATGCTGGCGAACTATAGCGGAAGCGCTTCAGCAATGTTTACACTCTTGTTTTCGGAAGTCAGTCGCTAGTTCCGCCTTCTCGATGACATCACGCGCGTCATTAAAGACGGCACGCGATGAATGGTCGGGAAGCAACGTGTAGTCTGACATGTTTCTTGTCCACGACACGACACAAGATTTTAGGAGTCAAAATCGTGTAATCTGACACAGTGACTATCGTGACCGACAAAAATATCGTGTAGTCTGAACCAACAAGTAATAAGTCAAACTGAACAGGAAGTTCCGGAAACATCTCCGAGAACTTGAGAACACATGAAACTGAACACGCATGTATTAGTACGGTTTTATGAAGTCCGGCTGTACAGAGGGTAAACAGTCTTGTGTCTTAAAGTATACTGTGTCTACTGGAAAATAAAGAAAAACAAATAACTACGTCAGGTTCGGACACTAATGAATCTGTTGGCCTGGAATGATGGCTCCATGAATGAAGCAACTTTCTTTTAAAATGATTCCTGAGTGTTAAAAAAGTGGTCAGAAGTGACAAGAGGACTTCCTCTTAAAGGGAGGCTCTGGGATTTTCACATCAAAACCCATTTTTAGACTTCTATGCAAATCTATGCATTTAGACATATAAGATTTACACACGATTACATTTGTGCTTTAACTCAAATTTTCAATAATTTCTTTCCCCCTCTCTAAAATACAATGCACATTGGCTCTTCCAGCTCTAGAGATGCACTACATGAACAAAGACATAAGCCAAATCAATCAAGAGCATTTGATTTGAAAAATCTTCTGAAGCTCCATTCAGATCACATGAACAGTTGATGATCAATTTGTGGATTATTAAGCCATATTGTGTATTTTTTTTGTACAGTAAAATGTTTGTATATATTTGAAGTAATTCTCTCCTAAACAAGTGATTTAAACAACAGAAGAAAAAAAAAATCTGGTTTTATTATGAACAGCTTGAGTAACTGGTAAAATGCTTGCTCTGGATTGCATGAGCTCTATACGATAATCCCAGGAACATACGTCCTTTCCCTGTTCTCTCACTAGTAGCAGATGAAGAAAAAGTCATCCCTGAGGTCTGCGTGTGACTTCTACATTAATCCTTACGTGGTACAAAACATTCAGCCACATCATGAAGATTTTCCATCAGATTCACCATTTCAAGCCTGACAAAACCAGAAACATTTTTCAACTTCACCCAAAAATAAAAATGCCATTATTACCCTCATGTCGTTTCAAACTCTACCACTGTTTTTCCTTCTGGTGAAATTTAAGAATCTCATGCGGTTCATAGTAACCACATCTGTCAATCTAAAAACAAAAAAAAAACGTTTTATCCGCTGCTCATGCTCCCCTCCACTGAAGCTCAGAATACTAAACACCATTGGTTATCATGCATCCATCACATCAAACCTCGGCCAAATTTAATAGCTAAGAACATAATCAGTGAATTGCTAATTTGGGTCTTTTTGGTTGTCGCACAAAGCTATCTGATGTCTTCAGAAGACTTGAAAAGTACAAGTCACATGGTCTACTTTTATGATGTTGGGAAATCTCTATACTTCCTTTGTAATGAAAAAAAGTTGTGATAAGCAAAAATAAAAGGCGTAAATGTTTGGAACAACATGCGGGTGGGTAAATAGTGACAATTTTTAAAGTTGGGTCAACTATTCTTCAGATACACCAGAAAATCTACTCATGACTCATGAGTCCTTCTGTTTCTTGAAAGAACGTTATTTCAAATGCTTGAATGTAGGTTAATTTGTGTCCAAAAAAAAGAGCGATAAAAACAAAAAAGGACTTCAAACATGAAACAGCAAAGATCTTCTTCTTGCATCCATCTTTGCTTGCCCCTCTACGAAATTTGATGTTGCCATTTCATTCTGTATCAGGAAGCTTCAAAGCGCCAACACTGAAATGCTCAACAGAGGTCAAAAGATTCTGTCCTCGTTTTGTTGCACTAGCTGGCCAATATCATGTCAAAACATGGCAACAGACGGCGCTCCATCTCTGCACAACATTGCATTCCTCAGCACTGGAATGGCTTGCGAACTTTCTTGCGCCGGCGTGGGGGCTTTCCTCCGTCAGTCCAGTGTTCGCTGGGGTCGCCTCGTTGGGCCCCTGGGCTAAAGAACCCCGTTTGTGGAGAAGATCCTGAAAACGTTGTTGAAGTCCCTGCAGCTGCTCCGGAGGAATGAGGCGGCGGGTTTCCTGTTGGGAAGATTCCTCCATTAGCAGACATGTCACTGGGAGCTCCACCCTGGAAGAAGTGGTTGAAGAAGTCCTGCAGGTCTGCAGGTGAGCCTCCACCTGCTGCGTGCTCTGGGGCGGATCTGGAGGACACAGTTTAACATGAAGACTGTCATTACAGTAGCACACAGGCCAGTAATTAGGAGCCAAGCGCCAAAAGTGAGCAGGCACCTTGTGTTTTTGTTAGTCGTCGTCTTCTGCTCTTGAGTCTATGGCAGCCCACAGAACTTCATGTGGGAAAGTTATGAAATATGACACACAGATAGAAGACAGCCTGAACATTAACCGCAGCAAATTTGGGTCTCTGCCTCTATTATTAAGAGCTTTTTCATATCTCATGCTGTTTTTGTACAACTCGTCATCAAAGTTGATGCCAATCCTGATCTGAGGCTGTATTTCTGCAATGCTTTGGTGTACTGACACCAAACTGAAGTGTTGACGTGAACTCTACATCTTCTATATTTCCAGCCCAAATACAGACCCCATTTTGTACATTGATCAATGACAAATAAAAAAAAATTGCACAAGTCTAGTTTAAAAAAATAAGAAGCATGTGCAAGTTCTTGCAAGTAAATGCTACAAATATAGGCAACATATACCACTTACATTATGAGATATATTATAAAAACATTTGCATATTAAAAATATTTCCAGTCTGGGTACACCTGACTGAATGGGTTTCTCATGAGCTTAAAGACTTTTGTGTCTATTGTGTAAGGGGTAATTTCAACCCACATATTTTTATGTTCAAAATTAACTTCAACTTTCTTTTTTTTTTGTCATGACTACTTGTAGCCGTTTGCTGATAAAAATACAACTGTTCTTTGTTAGTTCATGTTAGCTCAGATATTAAATAATACGAACACATACAATTTTAGTTTATTATTGTATTAGTAAATGGTAAAAATGAACATTGAGATTAATAAATATTTTAATTTCATTGTCAAGTTTTTTTCTCCATATAGTGGACTTCAACAGGGACCAATGAGTTAAAGGTCCAAATTGCAGTTTAAATGCAGCTTCAAATGGCTCTACATGATCCCAGCTGAGGAATAAGGGTCGGTACCTTCGCCTACGTCACGCGTGACCTTTTCAACGTGACTACGTAATGCGTGAAGTCATGGACGCATCGCAGAGCTAGTGCAAGATGAGCATTTGTGGTTAAAAAGTAGACTTTTTTCTTTAGAAAATGACTGATTGTTTCACTAGATAAGACCCTTATTCCTCGGCTGGGATCGTTTGAAGCTGCACTGAAACTGCAATTTGGAAAAACCTGCTGGTCCCTGTTCAAGTCCACTATATGGAGAAAAATCCTGGAATGTTTTCCTCAAAAACCTTAATTTCTTATCGACTGAAGAAAGACAGACATTAACATCTTGGATGACATGGGGGTGAGTAAATTATCAGGAAATTTTCATTCTGGAGTAAACTAATCCTTTAAGCATAATCATATGACATTTGCCTGCTGGTTATTTATCCTGAAAATGTTGCATTTTAATTTGGAATTTGTGTTTTTGCATTGGTAGCAAACCTCAACAAACTAAAAAAAAAAGAAGACATAAATAGATACATTCATTTATAAATCAAAACATATTCAGCCCAGTGGTTTACTTAATCTTCCAAACCTGGCAACCGTGTGCATGCGCTCTCTCACTATCTCTACATTGCTCAAATAAAAGTGTAATACAGCCAGTCTGTTTTCTTTGATTCAGATTTCAACTAAATCTGCAAGCAAACCATGTGAGTTTAAAGTGCAACAATTCTAATCAAAAGCTTAAAATGACAATAAACATGATTCCTAACCATTATTATATTTTTGAGCAAAATAATCGCTCAATTGTTTAACCATTACCACACAGCCCAAGTAGTTAACTAATGTTCACAAATGGAACCTTATTGTAAAGTGTTACCTTTTTAGATTTCCAAGAAATTAAAGACAGAAGTGGGCAAATTTCCCAGTGACTTGCACTGATAGAATAATCAGCATTCCATTATATTATGATATCATCACTGTCAGATAGATTTGGAATGCTGATTATGGCCTCTGAATAACTGATGTTGTCATAATAGTCTTTAGACAGCTGATGACGTCATAATGGTCTGAGGACAGAACACTTCTTATTAGGCTACGTTTACACTAGTGCGTTTTCGTTTTAACTTTTGCTACGGTTACGCCTATTGTTTACACTACTCCGGCGTTTTCGACCCTCAAAAATAGAGACTTTTGAAAACGCTGCAGACCCCGTTTTAGTTTGAAAACTCCGTTTACACTGAAATGCAACCGCGGAGCAAAACGGAGACTTTTGAAAACGATGGCGTGGCTGCCCACATTCACTCTGCGTATCCTTGACGACCGTGTAAACAATAACATCATGCTCATAGTTGTACCCATAGATATGTATAGGTAGAAGCCTCATTCGACCGCTCCAAGCACGCCATCTAAACAATAGGGAATCTACCTATACATATCTATGGTTGTACATGCATTACTGGTCATGTGACATGCGTTTTCGGTCGTGTAGTGTAAACGGAGATAGTTTCTGAAACGCAGTGAAAACGCCAGTGTAGACGAGGATCGTTTTCATTTTAAAACATAAACGCACTAGTGTAAACAGGGCCTTAGGCTGATGATACAAGGGGCAACTTTTTTTGAGCAATGTTGTTTGGGCACTTTCTCACTGAGAACGGGTAACAAATTTCTATCTGGATACTCTAGATCGGTTTTGGGCCCTGTGTCTAACCTGCTTGCCCGTTGACGGCAACATTGCTCAAAAAGTTGCCCTGTGTATCATCAGCCTTGGGAAAAAGCGGTTACCTGTGGCGGCTGGTTCCGCTGCTACCTTTAGAGCCAAAAGAGATGTGATATGGCACGCGATGTGTGTCTGGAGAGATGCTTATACGCTGACAGCCTGCCCACTCTGTGTGAACATAGAGATGTGTCTCAAGGATCTGAACATATGCATACAACATATGAACACAGCAACGATCCGAGAGTGGGAATGTGAATGAACTACCAGTGATGTCAAAGACTTTGCCATCCATGAAGGCGAAGTATGTGATGCGCAGTCCCAGCATACTGGATTCAGCCCACAGGTCTCCCTCCTCGGCGCTGTGCCACTTACTACATTCAGCACAGAATCGGGCCTCACCAGGCTCGCGGTCCATCTCGAAGCGCCTGTGGAAGAGACCAAGCTCAGATGAATGTAGAAACGCAGCATATAACACAAGACAAGATCTGTATGAAATGCCGAGACTGAAACGATGATCAGTAATACGCACTTGTGCTTCTTAAAGACTTTTGTGTCTATTGTGTAAGGGGTAATTTCAACCCACATATTTTTATGTTCAAAATTAACTTCAACTTTCTTTTTTTTTGTCATGACTACTTGTAGCCGTTTGCTGATAAAAATACAACTGTTCTTTGTTAGTTCATGTTAGCTCAGATATTAAATAATACGAACACATACAATTTTAGTTTATTATTGTATTAGTAAATGGTAAAAATGAACATTGAGATTAATAAATATTTTAATTTCATTGTCAAGTTTTTTTCTCCATATAGTGGACTTCAACAGGGACCAATGAGTTAAAGGTCCAAATTGCAGTTTAAATGCAGCTTCAAATGGCTCTACATGATCCCAGCTGAGGAATAAGGGTCGGTACCTTCGCCTACGTCACGCGTGACCTTTTCAACGTGACTACGTAATGCGTGAAGTCATGGACGCGCATCGCAGAGCTAGTGCAAGATGAGCATTTGTGGTTAAAAAGTAGACTTTTTTCTTTAGAAAATGACTGATTGTTTCACTAGATAAGACCCTTATTCCTCGGCTGGGATCGTTTGAAGCTGCACTGAAACTGCAATTTGGAAAAACCTGCTGGTCCCTGTTCAAGTCCACTATATGGAGAAAAATCCTGGAATGTTTTCCTCAAAAACCTTAATTTCTTATCGACTGAAGAAAGACAGACATTAACATCTTGGATGACATGGGGGTGAGTAAATTATCAGGAAATTTTCATTCTGGAGTAAACTAATCCTTTAAGCATAATCATATGACATTTGCCTGCTGGTTATTTATCCTGAAAATGTTGCATTTTAATTTGGAATTTGTGTTTTTGCATTGGTAGCAAACCTCAACAAACTAAAAAAAAAAGAAGACATAAATAGATACATTCATTTATAAATCAAAACATATTCAGCCCAGTGGTTTACTTAATCTTCCAAACCTGGCAACCGTGTGCATGCGCTCTCTCACTATCTCTACATTGCTCAAATAAAAGTGTAATACAGCCAGTCTGTTTTCTTTGATTCAGATTTCAACTAAATCTGCAAGCAAACCATGTGAGTTTAAAGTGCAACAATTCTAATCAAAAGCTTAAAATGACAATAAACATGATTCCTAACCATTATTATATTTTTGAGCAAAATAATCGCTCAATTGTTTAACCATTACCACACAGCCCAAGTAGTTAACTAATGTTCACAAATGGAACCTTATTGTAAAGTGTTACCTTTTTAGATTTCCAAGAAATTAAAGACAGAAGTGGGCAAATTTCCCAGTGACTTGCACTGATAGAATAATCAGCATTCCATTATATTATGATATCATCACTGTCAGATAGATTTGGAATGCTGATTATGGCCTCTGAATAACTGATGTTGTCATAATAGTCTTTAGACAGCTGATGACGTCATAATGGTCTGAGGACAGAACACTTCTTATTAGGCTACGTTTACACTAGTGCGTTTTCGTTTTAACTTTTGCTACGGTTACGCCTATTGTTTACACTACTCCGGCGTTTTCGACCCTCAAAAATAGAGACTTTTGAAAACGCTGCAGACCCCGTTTTAGTTTGAAAACTCCGTTTACACTGAAATGCAACCGCGGAGCAAAACGGAGACTTTTGAAAACGATGGCGTGGCTGCCCACATTCACTCTGCGTATCCTTGACGACCGTGTAAACAATAACATCATGCTCATAGTTGTACCCATAGATATGTATAGGTAGAAGCCTCATTCGACCGCTCCAAGCACGCCATCTAAACAATAGGGAATCTACCTATACATATCTATGGTTGTACATGCATTACTGGTCATGTGACATGCGTTTTCGGTCGTGTAGTGTAAACGGAGATAGTTTCTGAAACGCAGAAAAATCCTGGAATGTTTTCCTCAAAAACCTTAATTTCTTATCGACTGAAGAAAGACAGACATTAACATCTTGGATGACATGGGGGTGAGTAAATTATCAGGAAATTTTCATTCTGGAGTAAACTAATCCTTTAAGCATAATCATATGACATTTGCCTGCTGGTTATTTATCCTGAAAATGTTGCATTTTAATTTGGAATTTGTGTTTTTGCATTGGTAGCAAACCTCAACAAACTAAAAAAAAAAGAAGACATAAATAGATACATTCATTTATAAATCAAAACATATTCAGCCCAGTGGTTTACTTAATCTTCCAAACCTGGCAACCGTGTGCATGCGCTCTCTCACTATCTCTACATTGCTCAAATAAAAGTGTAATACAGCCAGTCTGTTTTCTTTGATTCAGATTTCAACTAAATCTGCAAGCAAACCATGTGAGTTTAAAGTGCAACAATTCTAATCAAAAGCTTAAAATGACAATAAACATGATTCCTAACCATTATTATATTTTTGAGCAAAATAATCGCTCAATTGTTTAACCATTACCACACAGCCCAAGTAGTTAACTAATGTTCACAAATGGAACCTTATTGTAAAGTGTTACCTTTTTAGATTTCCAAGAAATTAAAGACAGAAGTGGGCAAATTTCCCAGTGACTTGCACTGATAGAATAATCAGCATTCCATTATATTATGATATCATCACTGTCAGATAGATTTGGAATGCTGATTATGGCCTCTGAATAACTGATGTTGTCATAATAGTCTTTAGACAGCTGATGACGTCATAATGGTCTGAGGACAGAACACTTCTTATTAGGCTACGTTTACACTAGTGCGTTTTCGTTTTAACTTTTGCTACGGTTACGCCTATTGTTTACACTACTCCGGCGTTTTCGACCCTCAAAAATAGAGACTTTTGAAAACGCTGCAGACCCCGTTTTAGTTTGAAAACTCCGTTTACACTGAAATGCAACCGCGGAGCAAAACGGAGACTTTTGAAAACGATGGCGTGGCTGCCCACATTCACTCTGCGTATCCTTGACGACCGTGTAAACAATAACATCATGCTCATAGTTGTACCCATAGATATGTATAGGTAGAAGCCTCATTCGACCGCTCCAAGCACGCCATCTAAACAATAGGGAATCTACCTATACATATCTATGGTTGTACATGCATTACTGGTCATGTGACATGCGTTTTCGGTCGTGTAGTGTAAACGGAGATAGTTTCTGAAACGCAGTGAAAACGCCAGTGTAGACGAGGATCGTTTTCATTTTAAAACATAAACGCACTAGTGTAAACAGGGCCTTAGGCTGATGATACAAGGGGCAACTTTTTTTGAGCAATGTTGTTTGGGCACTTTCTCACTGAGAACGGGTAACAAATTTCTATCTGGATACTCTAGATCGGTTTTGGGCCCTGTGTCTAACCTGCTTGCCCGTTGACGGCAACATTGCTCAAAAAGTTGCCCTGTGTATCATCAGCCTTGGGAAAAAGCGGTTACCTGTGGCGGCTGGTTCCGCTGCTACCTTTAGAGCCAAAAGAGATGTGATATGGCACGCGATGTGTGTCTGGAGAGATGCTTATACGCTGACAGCCTGCCCACTCTGTGTGAACATAGAGATGTGTCTCAAGGATCTGAACATATGCATACAACATATGAACACAGCAACGATCCGAGAGTGGGAATGTGAATGAACTACCAGTGATGTCAAAGACTTTGCCATCCATGAAGGCGAAGTATGTGATGCGCAGTCCCAGCATACTGGATTCAGCCCACAGGTCTCCCTCCTCGGCGCTGTGCCACTTACTACATTCAGCACAGAATCGGGCCTCACCAGGCTCGCGGTCCATCTCGAAGCGCCTGTGGAAGAGACCAAGCTCAGATGAATGTAGAAACGCAGCATATAACACAAGACAAGATCTGTATGAAATGCCGAGACTGAAACGATGATCAGTAATACGCACTTGTGCTTGCCCTCACATTTAGTGCACATCATTGTGTTCATGGCTTCTTTCAGGTCATCCTGCAGTTTGGTCAGAAACTCATTCATGGACTTTGAAAGCTCCGTAGCTGCCATACGCTTCCTGCAGACACAGAACCCAAATATAAAATCGCCTTTCATAGTTATATGAAACGTGTACAGGTCATCTTTCTAAAAATTCTTGTAATATTGAGTAATATTAAGTTCAGCATGAAATGCAATACAACAGACATACAACTATTAGATACAACTATTCGACGTTTTCCACATTACATCAACTTTTCAAGTTGTGTTACGGTCATTTTGACCAGGAAAGGCTTTTTTAAAGATTAAATGATAATATAGCATTAATGAGAGATTTTCAAGCTATTTATAAAAAAGCTGGTCATTTTTGACAGGGAACACCAAATTAGGTAAAGGATTTTTAGCACAGCACAAGGCTTTAAGAGAACAAAATAGTTTTGCATTAGAATAAGAATGTGTAGGTAAAAGTGTTTGTCAAAATGAAAATATTGTCACAATGCAAAATAACAGAAGCCATTTTCTTCATAAAAAACATTTCATTTAGGATGACGATCAATCTACTTGTTCTTATCTAACAGCACTCACAATTCATACTCTCGCCGAGTCTCTGGGTTACTGACGATGTCCCACGCTGCTCTTAACACCTTGAAGGCCTCGCCAGCACCTGGGTGCTTGTTTTTGTCTGGATGAACCTGTACACAAGCAATACATTAAACCTGGACAAATCAATAACTCATCCCTTTTTTCAGGGCAATGATTTTCTGTCATCTCACCTGTACTGCCAGCTGTCTATAAGCTCTCTTGAGTTCTGATTCAGTGGCATGAATATCCACTCCAAGAACATTAAATGGGTCCAACTCCTCTTCAGGGATCTGTACCAGAGCAAGAGTTGATAACATAGTTAAGGCGCACCTTAGTTTCAAAGATTCGTTACCTGTCTTTATACAGTATCCAAAATCACTAAGCAACACATTAATATTTCAACATTTCAAAGGTCTTACTGAATGATTACAGGCTTGCACAGATTCTGTCCCCACAAAATAATAGCAAAAAATATATATATCTTTCAAACACATACCATTAAAGTTGTAAAATGGATTTTATAAAAGTTCAGACTCGTGTGATGTCATGCAAGAACAACTAAACATGGCAACTAAAAAATGAAGGTAGTTTTGCAGCTACCTCTACATATTTCTGCTTGATATGTCAATTTATGAAATATGATGCCAGCCTTTAGATTGCTTTGTTCACACAGAAGTGAATAATATAATACTTAAGTATATCGACAACAACAAGCAGCACTCTGTGTCTGAGGACGAAAACAGTTCAGAGATGAACGCCAGAGTGCTGTCATAATTAGGTGTCAGTTTAAAATGACATGAATGCAATATCATCATGTGCCTCTCCAGGGTATTTGATTGTGATCGGTCAATTTTTTTGGTATATTCACGCACATTTCCTACTCAGCTGTGCTAGTTTCAGGTCTATCCTATCATTCTGCACTCTCTTCTAAAGTAATAAAATAAACTCACATCAGTACTTTGTGTCAATGAATACACTTGTTTGATAAGTAACTGTGTAAGCGGGATAAAGCACAATCAGTCAGTCAGTCTTTAATCATAAAGTAAACCCTCAGATGGATCACAAAGCTGACTGTACATTATCCATTATTAATCGGATAATACTTCATGATGAAAAGGAAGTAGGGAAAGATCTTTTTTCCATATTGTGAGCTGATATACATCCGAGTAGGGCTGGGTATCGATTCAGATGTCCCGATTCGATTCAATTTCGAGTCGCAAGCTCTCGATTCGATTCAATTTTTTGATTACATTCAGTGAATATAGTTTTAATACAAATGGTATTGATATTTCTAAAAAATGAACAGTAAACATCACCGGAAAAGATCGATTCGCGGCTTTTGAGAATCGATATCGAATCAGGAGTTTCTTCTGCTCATCAAGGCTGCATTTATTTGTCATCATATGACCCCTTTAAAAAGAAGAGCATTTATTTAAAATAGAAATCTTTTCTAACAAAATACACTACTGTTTAAAAGTTTGGGGTCAGTAAATTTTTATTCTTTCTTTTTTCTTTTATTCTTTATTTTTCTTTGAAATTAAATTTTTTTTTTTAATTATTAAAACTTTTATTCAGCAAGGATGTGTTAAATTGTTAAGAAGCGATAGCAAAGATTTATATTGTTAGAAAAGATTTATATTTTGAATAAATGCTGTTCTTTTTAACTTTTTATTCATCAAAGAATCCTGAAAAA